CCCACCCCACCCCAACCACGAACAGATCCTAGACGGCTGGAAGCTCGACGGTCAAGTATTTCCCAGTTCCGACGACCACCCTCAGCCCATGTCTTACCGGGAACTCCGATTCTGTGGCGAGGGTGCCAGGCCAGGCCCGGTCACCAGCAAACAGAACATTGTTCAGATCTTCTTCAAAGTGCCCGTCAGAGGCCAAGGGTTCATGGTCAAGGTCGCCTTCAAGGTCAACAAGAAACGTGAGTGGTGGTGGCTGCGTTGTTGTTGTGTGTGTGTGGTAGCCTATCGGTTCGAAATGTTTGGAGCCCGAATGAGAGTGCTCTTCGCCAGGGCCCCCGCCTCCCTAAAATGGAAACGCGTAGTTTCTCTTCGTTGTTGTTGTTGTTGTTGTTGTTGTTGCTGTTGTTGTTGTTCTTGTCGTTGTTGTTGTTTTTAAATCCCTTCAGCAGCGAGCATTTCGCTCTTGGCCGCGCAATGGCCCCATTAAGTAACCACTTGTCCCTGTCCTTGTCATCTGGTCAACGTCAGAGTAAAGCTGGCGTGGTGCCTGCGTAATTGTAGGTGTTCTTTTTACTTACGGCCCCTTTGACACTGTTTGGGAAACTGCTGTTGAAAATTAATGTTCAGCAGGATAGCCATCCTTTGTCGAAGGCCTAGAGGTTAAGGAGATTGCCTTTCATTCAATAGGTCCTGGGTTTGAATCCGGATAGCGACCGAAAATTCTCCTCTCTAAAATTTTCTCCTGTCAAATCCTTTCCTGCTTTCAAACAATTTTCTGTCGTCTGCTTTCGTCTCTACTTTCTGCCCCCACCCCCTCACCTCCTTTGCCCCTTCCTCTGGCCTCCTGACTCTTTCTGCTGCCTTTCTACTGCTTCTCCTTGGCTCCTTTTTACTGCTGTGTTTCAGCCACACTCCTTATCTTACGGAAAGTAAGATCTACACCTAGCCTTCTTGGACAAGGGCGAAAGATCTCGGAGGTCTCGAGGCAAGTTGCGCACGTCAAAGATCCCTTGGTGATCCAAAATGGATAAGAGTAGGCTTCCGCGGCCAATCGGGCAAAATTTAAAATGTCCTACCAACTGAAAATGTTTGGCATGTTCCGCACTCTCTTATGACCTCATACATTTGCGAGCGCCGTAAAATACCTAACTAAAAAAAATATCAAAAGTATTTATTATTCCTTAGTTTGCTCGTTTGTTTGTTGTTGTTGTTTTTTTATTTGTTGTGTGTTTGTTTGTTTTTGTTTGTTTGCTCGTTCCTTTGTTTGTTCATTTGTTTGTTTGTTTTTGTTTTTTGTTCTTTCTTTTGTCTTAGACAATTGGTTGTCTTGGTCAGTGTCATGAAAATAATATCTTTGAAAAACATTTTAGGAGTAATGGGAAGTGGTTGCTTTATGCAGCTGCTTGTCTTGGACATGATAATGACAATCTTTATTCATCTCGCAAGGAGAATTTTGTCTTGGTCGTTTACAATCGCAGTGGAATGTAAACAAAGGTTAGATGCTCTCACAACAAGACAGGACATTCGTTAAAAACATGTCTCACGGGCTGAAACAACTCGCTCCTCAAAACATTCTCTCTCTCTCTCTCTCTCTCTCTCTCTCTCTCTCTC